CTGGTCGGGCTGCGGGGGGGGCTTTTAAAAGTTCCCATTAAAACCAACGTGCTGGGCAAAAAAAAAAAAACCTCCCACAAACAACTGCCCGGTAGTCGTTCGTTTACTCTCGGTTGTTCGTGGGGGACTTTTACCCAGGAACAGGAGAGAAAGAACACAAAAACAAAATAATAGCCAGCAGTATGGTTTTCAAACTCAGCAATTGGTGGGGGACGCAGGAGAACCTAAAACTACTCTTGTCCTGACGCTTAAAAAAAAAACTGATCAGCTTTCAGGTTGACATATCCCTTTAAAACTAAGCCCTCCCCCAAGTGACTTGGCAGAGGTAAGGCATGTATATTGCTTATAATGACACGTAGCAGTCTCTGGTGATATTATATAGCCTCTATGCTGTATTCATTATTAGGGTTAATTCTGTTGCATGCGAGTACCAGAATTCCTCCTTTTTTGTAGCCCCTGCTCCTGCAAACATTTATGCTTGAACGTAAATTTACTCAGAAGAATAGTGACATAGTAGTTACTAGATCTATTCTTGTGACTACAGTTAAATATACTATGTGCACAATTAGGTTTTTAGAATTGGGGCCATATAACTGTTGAAGATGTATGTGTATGTTCTGTGTGCAGATAAATATTACATGCTGTACTAATACAGTGTCCTAACCATGTCATAAATTGTATTTACAATGAACTCTTGAGAGCTTTACCTGTCTTCTGTTCATTAATCTCTCTCCAGATTTTAGGCTATCATTCCAACCCATTGAACAGCTTTAATGAATTGCCACTTTTTAAAATCAACTACCAGAGATATTTTTATTGCTGGAGTTGCAGTTTTTAAAACAGTAGGCTAAATTAAATCATGATTCAAATTATGAAGCCAGTGGAGTTGTACCTCTATACACTAGAGCTAAAGTAACCTGATAGATATAAACAAAAATATATAGCCTGCAGCTATTGGAAACAAAAATATGTGTATTAGAGAATATATTAAGAAATATTGACACTTTTTCTGGAGGGTGTCAGCAGAATTGCACTTTTTGGCATAATGTCATGGGGATATTTTACTTTTGACAATATTGGTTATTTGCAGAAGAATGAATTTAGAGGTGGGAGCTAGGGATGTAATAGTGTAGTTGATTAATTAACTGATAAGCAAAAGGTTATAGGTTAATGCTATAGAAGACATGCATTTCCCTCTTTCTCTCTTCCTGCCAGTAAATTTCTGAGTCCTGGCTTGTGATGGGTCCAGGACATACCCCTACTGCGGCTCTGCATTTAATGTGTATTAGAAGCCAGCCAGGCAGGCAACCCAGTTCAGTTCTGGCTCATGCCAGGTTTGGGAGCTTAGACCCCCACTAGACAGGGGCTGCTGCCACCCTGCGCTGCTGCTTCTTTATCAGAGGCAGCAGCACGGAGCAACAGGCAGCTGGTCTGCGAGTGAAGCTTGTTTTTAAACTGACTTCCCTTGCGGACCAGTGTCTGCCTGGCACCCTTTGCTGCTACCTCTGATACAGTGGCTGCCAGGCCTGCCCCCAGGGACTGTAGAATAGTTGACTAACTGATAAGAATTCATGAGGTTACTCGACTACAGGGCATCCTTGCTATAAGTTGCCCCAGTATATGTTGCTTCTGAGCTGGCGTCATTGATGCTTGTGGGAACTGTTCCGTTTTAAGTCCTCCCATTCTCTGTTCTGCACTAATTGGTCTTTTTTTTTAATGACGGAAACGGATGTTAGTCACAGGAAGAAAATTCCTCGCTTTACATCCCTTTGCTATACGTCTACTTTTTTTTAAATGTATCTTGGATGTACAGTGCGGATGCCCTATATTCAGTTAACCAATATTTAACATGAGAGAGCCTCTGAAATAAATATTCTAATTAGAAGTAGTAATGATCCTTTTTATTCAGTTATTTATGCACTGAGACTTTGCAATCTAGCATAGGTGGTAACATTATTTAAATTAAAATCTGATTTAAAGACTATTATGTTAATTTAAAATAATTAATAAAGTTACAGTGGCAATTTGACTTTATCAGAACTGGAAGCTTGTCTCAGGAAATCTCTCATCTTGAATCACTTAAACCTGTAGTCATAAGCACAAGAAAACTTCATATTCCAGGCTTCTGGGCAATAGCATGAGTGCATTCTAGGCAAGTGGAACTGTCAGATATCCTGATAGAAATGTAGCCGTGTTAGTCTGGTGTAGCTGAAACAAAATACAGGTCTATGTAGCACTTTAAAGACTAACAAGATGGTTTATTAGATGATGAGCTTTCGTGGGCCAGACCCACTATTTGATCTGAGGAAGTGGGTCTGTCCCACAAAAGCTCATCATCTAATAAACCATCTTGTTAGTCTTTAAAGTGCTACATAGTCCTGTATTTTGTGTCAGATATCCTGTCTGCCAAACAAGTACAATGGGGTTGACTGGTAGTGGATGCCTAAAACCATGCACAACAATACTGAGATGCCTCTCAGTGACGGAGTTTTCATGCACTAAGGTGACATTCAGAGAGCAATAGAGCTGAGTTTTCAATTTGAGTAGAAGAAGGGATGAATTTAACTGATCTCAGCCACATAGCAATTTCTTCAGAAATGAGTTGAACCAAAGATAAGTGTTCTGCTAAGCATGCCTGACCCTGAGTTGCAGTTTCAACATGATGCCTGATCAGTTGTCTCTGGCGATTTCCCAGGAGAGATTGGATAGGTTCTTTTCAGGTACTTTAAGTGTTTCAAAGTGTTTTTGCCAGAATGGCAACCAGCAGTTTTATTTTCCAGCCAAACCAGAGTAGGGATGTTAAATGTCGGTTAATTGAATGGTCGAGTAATCTCATGAAATTTGATTGGTTAGTCGACTATTCTATAGTCCCTGGGGCGGGGCCAGCAGCCACTGTTTCAGAGGCAGTAGCGTGGGGTGCCAGGTGGGAGCTGGTCCACAAGAGGCGCCAGTTTGAAAACCAGCTCCCCTTGCAAACCAACTGCCTGTCGCCCTGTGCAGCTGCTTCTGAGAAAAAGGCAGCAGTGCGGGGTGGAAGCACTCCCTGTCTGGGGGAGGGGGTCTGAGCTCCTGAACCCGGCACAAGCCAGAACTGAGCTGAGTTGCCTGCTTGCCCAGCTTTTAATACATTTGAAATGCAGAGCTGCAGCAGAGGTAGGTCGCAAGCCAGGACTGAGAAATTCTCTGTCAGGGAGAGGAGGAAGAGGGAAATGCGTGTAATATATAGCATTAACCTACAAACTTATCTGTTAATCGGTTAACTGACTATACTATTACATCTGTAAATCAGAGTAGGATGTTAGTTTCCAAGGGCAGAGGGGCATAGGAGCTGGTGCTGGGGGGAGCCAGCTTAAAACCCGGTTCTCCCTAGCACTGACTCCGCAGCACCCACTCCCAGATGCTGTGCCTCTTCCTTTTAAATGTATTAAGAGCCTGCCAGCTTTTAATACATTTAAAAGGCTAGAGCGCAGTGGGGGGACCCAACGCGAGCCGAGAGAGCTGATTCCTGCCTCGCGCTGAGTTCCTCCTCTGTGCTCCAGCCTTTTAAATGTATTAAGAGCCAGCAGGCTTTTAATACATTTAAGAGGCTGGAGCACAGCATCTGGGACTGGGTGCGAGCCAGGAATAAGCTGATTCCCGGCTCGTACCCAGTCCCTGTGACCCTTCTGCCTCCTCGGCCCCCCATGGAGACGATGCTGGGAGGAATCATCTTTTAAGCCGGCTCCCCCCAGTGCTAGCTCCTGCTCCTTCCTCCCAGTTGCCTCTGATAGAAGCATCTAGCAGGCCGGGGGAGTAACTAGTTGAGGGACTAAGTCGACTATCTGATAAGCTTTGATTTAAAAAAAAAAAAAAAGAGAGGCGACTAGTCATTAACATCCCAGCTCTTACTACTCTTAAAATGCAGAGCCACAGTGTGGGTGGTTCCCGGAGCCGGCACGTGACAGGACTGTGCAGTCCCAGCTTGCACCAACTCCAGGAGTTACGCTCACTGTGGCTTTGCAGAGTGGCTCCCCTTATCGACTACACGAATAGTCGATACAAATTGTATCAACTACACAATTAACTAAATAACTGCTCCTTAACATCATTACTCAAAATACAACTTGGAAAATTACTAACTGTGCACGTGTTTTATAATTATTTGTAAACATAAAAGTAGACTTTGAGAGAAAAAGGCATTTGAATTTTTGTGTTTAAAGAAAATAAAAACTTATTGGTATTTTGTTGTCAGAATGCTCTTTAATTGCCCCCTCTCACCGCAGTAGGTAGGCGCTCGCTCGCTCTCTCTCTCTCTCTCTCTCTCTCACACACACACACATGCACTCTTACTGAAATAATATGATATTGAAATATAAAGATGAAGAATGGCTAAATGGTAAAATTGAGAGCATTGTTAGATTTTTAATAATTTTATGGATAGTTAATGAGTTTAGACAAGGTAACATTTTGGTCAAGGCCTCACTCGTACGAGTGTGGTTTTGGTAGTTCTCCTTTTTTGTATAGAATTGCTCTTTTGATTAAAATGTTATTACTGCTAACAAGACAAAATAATATTGTTTGGAATAGTTTAGGTAACAAGTAGAGATTTTCAAAAGCTTCAGGGGGGTAATCAAGTTAGTCTGTAACTGGAAAAACTTAAACAATGAATAGTCTTGCAGCACCTTAGAAACTAACAAAACAAAGTACATGTTTTGTTAGTTTCCAAGATGCTGCAAGACTATTAGTTGTTCTTTAAATTTTTCAAGTAGGGATTTGTTAGTGTACACAATTAAACGGTTACACATGAGCTCATTGGTTAACTGTCATGGTTACATGGGCCTGACATTCTAGCCACCTTTTAATCCATTTTACAGTCCATTTATCTAATCCATACTCCCTTAATTTGCTGACCAGAGTATTGTGGGAGATCGTATCAAAAGCTTTGCTAAAGTCAAGGATATCACATCCACTGACTTCCCCATATCCACAGAGCCAGGTACCTCATCATAGAAGCTAATCAGATTGGTCTGGCATGACTTGCCCTTTGTGAATCCATCTATTCCTTCCCCCCTCCTGCATGTAATCCCCCTAGATTTGAACATCCCTAGTAACAAGCATATAAACCTCTAATTACAAGAAACTTCTTTACAAGGAACACTCAGGAACAAAAAAATGACAAACAGCAAAAGCTGTGTAAATTGAAGCATGGGCATGCATATTGTACAGGTTGCCTAAAACAAATGCTTAATGTTGATTGGAGAAAGGTGAACAAGGCTTAAATTGGAAAAATATTGGATCAGAAATTGAAGGAACAGGACTGAGAAATACAGGCCAGAGGTCGCCTAAATTGGTTGGGCTTGTGACTCTTGTGTTCTACTTTACACTTCTAACATTGGCTTCCCTGGATGTGGAAAAGTCTAAGATGTCTTATTGCCAATTCTGGGTTTTTTGGGATTGTGACCTAAGACTTTTGGAGTATTAAAAAGGCATAGGAAGTTGAAGAGAGCTCCTAGTTATGGTATTGAAGAAAATAACAAAGGTAAGAAAACACGTTCTCATTCCTTCTTTATGACTATGTTAAACAGTTTATTATCTCCCATAGAGGGGGCTATGATAGAAAAGTCTGAAGGGCAGCAGCTGATGATGTGGTAGAAAAGACTTTTAAGAGTAATGTGAACTGGAAATACAAAAACTCCCTTAAAAAGTGAGTTTGTATTGAAGAATTATATGTAATGAACTTGTCCCGTAAACACAAGTTAAAAGGAGTTAATCCTGCAAACCGTTAAAAGTAGAATTTAAAAAGTTGTGGGCAAGTGGCAGCCTCAGTATTTGTTCTTCATAAAAATCACTTACTGTATTATGAGAGTGAGAAACATAGACTGCGTGTCATAGGAAGACAAAATGTATCGTAATATGCCAAATAGAGAATTTAAAAATGTAAGGACACTGGCCCTGTTGTTGCACTCTCCCCAGTTGCCTTTTTGAGAAGAAGAGAATGATGAGCTTGATTTGTGTTCTCCCTCTTCTCATCCCAGAGAACTCTTCTGTTAAAATGCTGGCCACTGGTAATTTTCTTGGTTTATAGACCTCTCAAATTGTTTGTTAAAAAGTTTTGAGTTTAAATCATGGAAGGATAAATACGTTGTTGGACTCTTCTCACCATCCAGATCCATGAAAACATTTATGTTAAGTTTTGCGAGAAACAGAGAAAATGTTCAAGTAAAATTGCAGCTTGGGAATGTGAATAACTTAAATGTGTCCATCAGCTCACAGTCTGCAATATACAAAGGAAAAACTTCAAGAATGTCAATCCCCATTTAAAGGGGAATGCAAAATGAATGTGTTTTTTAATAGAATTCCACTAGAATCCATTGGCCTTAACAGTCAAAGTTAAATGTCTTCATTATTTTAAACATAGAAAAAAAGATAAGAGTTACTTATTTTACAAGTTAAAAAACTTTTCCATGTTATGCACACATGAAAAAATAGGGGTAGGAAAAGGCAAACCTAAAACTTATAAATACCTTTAGGTAAATTATTAAATATATTTTAAAAATTAGTCATTTATTTAGTAGTGTTTCTTCTGTTATTAGTCATTCAAAATAAACAGATTCCTGGATGAGCTCCATCTAAAGCAGGGCTACTCAACACGAGACCTGTAGGCCACATGCGGCCCGCAGCCCATTTGTTTGCGGCCCGCAATGTAGTTTGGGTTTACGTGGGGCTCAACGTTTGCTCTGCGGGTGGGAGCCAAAACAAAAAGTAGTCAATATAATGGTCTTCTGTTGATATGCGTTTTAGTAGTTAAATTCCTTGACTGTGATTGCTCATTGAAAGTTCTGTCGTATGGGTGGAAATCGGGTAAATATTGCATTTTATTAATATCAGCAGAACTGACTTACATGGGGCCTGTATGTTTCATAGCCTTGCCTTAATCTTTGTAATCATGCCCATCAGTGTGAAAGAAGCTATTTGCATGTATATGCAACCACACTTAAATTGCAGCCCTTGGCATGTGCTGTGTCATTGTAGCCCTGATCTAAAGTGCGGTAACTAAATCAATTTTTTGTTTTTGTTTTTTATAGAATCAACATTTTATCTCTGGGGGCCTGTATGTTTCATAGCCTTGCCTTAATCTTTGTAATCATGCCCATCAGTGTGAAAGAAGCTATTTGCATGTATATGCAACCACACTTAAATTGCAGCCCTTGGCATGTGCTGTGTCATTGTAGCCCTGATCTAAAGTGCGGTAACTAAATCAATTTTTTGTTTTTGTTTTTTATAGAATCAACATTTTATCTCTGG